AACAGCATGAAGTCCAACATTTTCACTTTCTGGATGCGATTTGTGTTTCTGAACGGATGCTGGGTCCGACCATTAACCTTACTGACCGGGAGGTCCGTGGTTTCGACTCAACCTCTGCATCCTGACTCCTCCTGTTTAGCCTTGGGCAACCTTGCGGTATCCGAGCCCTCGTGCCCCCTTTGGGCGGCATGGCAGCTAGACATCGAAAAGGTGTAATTATGTTACCATTCGCCAATCATCCTGCTAGAAGTTCCGATGCCCAATTGCCGAAACAGTCTGCCTATACTCTGCACAACAGACAACGTCCGAATAGGTCAACATCAATTTCTGTCTGAAGCACATTTATGCGAGTTGAGTACGAAGATCACAGTGAAAGCCACATGTTTATCAAGGCTCTCGTTCTCTAGTCGTGGATGTGCTATGAAGGTCTGGCAACCCTGAATGCTAATGATATGACAGTTAATTTGACTTTTATCTAGTATACAAGTGTGCCCGTGAGACGCGTATTGTGTGCCAAACGACAAAATTCGCCGCCTTAACAAAACTAAACTGACCACGAGATATTTGTCGGAAAATCAAAAGCGTAAAATACACCAACCAAAAGACTGTATAAGGCAATTTTAGACAGCTAACTGACATAGTCTAAGATGAGCATTCATTCTCATAAAGGAAACTACTCATAAGGTGCTGAAAACTTCTTCGACAACCCACGACCGGTTTCGCCCTTCTTGGGGCTCATCAGGTAGGCACAGTCCCCGAGTTTCCGTCAACCTTATGATCTACTTGAACCCAAATTGCACTGTTTTCGAGAAATACACTCATTTGCAAATCAATTTGGTTTTCATGGGAGACTCAATTGAATCTTTCGTTTATGATGTCTTCCAGCTGAATGTGCTGCACACAGGCCGCCTCATGATTCAGTTGGCACGATATTCGAGATTTCGCAGTATATTTTCATGAAGGAAACTACTCCCGTGAAAACCAAATTGATTTGCAAATGAGTGCATTTCTCGTGAACATTCATTCGTTTGCCTAGCTGAATGTTAAACCCGATCCTCGGATCGAGTCAAAAGAAGGCACCCGGTCACTTTGGTAAGATTGTTGCCGAATCGCGTCGACAGAGCTTACGTGTCTACATACAACCTTTCTAAGGTTCTTCGTTCCACGTCTCCTGCTCTAACCATTCACTGGAATACATACGGTCACCTACGATAGATACAGGTATGGTCTATCGCCCAATTTTGCGTGCAAACAACTGGCTACACTCTCTTTTACATTGCGCCGTTTTGATACCTAGCTATGATGTGCTAAATACATACACTCGCACAATAGTTACTGTTCGATGAAATCTGACGAAAGGAGAAACACGTGGAAAAAATTGCAGCTAGATGAAACAAGTGTTCGCAAGGTGTAGTGATTGAATTCTGTAGTCAGCAATAAAAAGAGATTCTGCTTGTAAGGCCCTGACAGTTTATGTGCACTTTGTGTGTACTGTAAGTTTTTTTTAAAAAAAAGTCGAAAAGAACCTACTGAATCGAGAAGCTCTATTAAACGTATGGTTGTCTTAAGGGCCGCCTGCGCTTATCTCCTGTCTTGCAGATTACCAAAAGACAAGATAGCGTCCGATATTTTCCTGTCATCAACACTACTGACACCGATGCTTCATGCATCATAAGTCTGTTATGATATTCTATTGGTTACCATTCATTTTGATGTAGTCTACCCCGTCCAGCGGAAAATTCACACGTCATTAACCGGTGGTGTGTGCAACTATTGCAGTTGTTCGCAGCATCTTCATCGAAACTCTACTTAGAGCTCATCAGGCCAGACGTGCTTGTGAATGACTACGCTTGATACAAACATCGACCTTAGCCAGGACCAACAAAATGCGTCTGGCTTAGTGTACTGTCAACAAAACACTTCAAAAAGGCCTACCTTGAAGTTGACCATTCGCTCCACACTTGCGAAAACCATGCGGATCTAATAGTCATCTTTGCTCAAAATGGATGTGACCGGTGGCAAACAGCCGGTTAACCAAACACCCTTCGAATGAACTCGCGAAGGGCCGCGCCCTATTATTGGAGTAGTCTGTGAGTAGTTTGTGATAGCGAGTGCTTGAATTGGACCGCTGGGTTACAAGACCATTCCGATAAATACCTTTTACGCAATAGGAGAAGAGCACACGGGTAGAAACAATGCCAGAGTGCCAAAGTCTCAACGGAACCAAATGAAAAGCGGGGGTATAGTCAACCTAACGACATCTCGACCAGTAGGACCAAACAGCAAAAGGGAGTGGACCGTATCGGTTAAAGACAAAGTATTTAAACTGCGCTCAGAAGAAAGGCCATACAATTCTACCTACAAAGGTTTCTATCTACAAACCACGTGTTTTGGTGCTTTCATAATCACAGTGGTAGCAATAGTAATAACAATAAAGCTGACAACAAAATGATTGATTGATATACTTTTGTGGAAACCACATATCGTAATAGAATCCCTCTTCCACAGGAGGTCCATAGCACAGATGACCACCGTAAGCCTGTTCCAGTGCCTCGCCCAAGACGTGCGCAGAAGAATGCCAGAAGACGTACTGACCTGCAACGGTCGAGAAGAAAATGAGGCTCGAAATGAGATCCACTTTAAAATTTTGAGTAAATCATCATGCCTTTCGCTTCAAAATACTCACCCAAATTGGAAGGAAGGCTATTCAAGGAGATGTGACAAACTGCGCCACGCAAATTTTCGCTTCTAAACAACACTACACGCTCTCAACAAACAAGGCTCTAGAGTGACTGATGCGCATGCTCGTATGCTGTAGACGCCTTCTGATCAGTGATTGGAACCTACCGTTTAGCCGCGACATTAATTCGGAGCACAGCTACCGTTCGAGCTGTAGGAACACGGTTCCAGATGGGACTCTAATGGTAAAGACATAGGCACTTTAGTCTGACATGTCTTAAAACCTTCCCCTCTGTTACAGATGGGGGGTGAGATGGCTCAAGTGGTTAGAGCGCGAATTTACTGACCAGAAGGTAGGTGGTTCAAATCCGACCTCCGCCTCTCGACTTCCCCTGTCTAGGCTTGGGCAACCTGACAGTATCCCAGTCCTCGTGCAACCTTCGGGTGGCATAGCAGTTAGACACCGAAAGCATGCTACAGCTGAGCAATTTTTTTCTGCCACGAACGTCTCAGTGCACAGGTCAGTCGTAAAGTCCAGTCCTCGTCATTGTGGCGCGACCGCGTCTGCCGCGGTATGAGTTCTGCTGCACATGGGCTAACGGGGTGCATGCGGTGGTGCCACCAGGCCGTAGTGGATTCTTGACAAGGAACCGCGTCTTTTACAAAATGTCCCATGGACCCTGTGTCACTCCGTAAATGCGATACAAGGTTCTGTAACGGCGTCTCCGGGAAGCGACACCTTAGATACTGGCTTAGTCCTTGTAGTGACGAATATGCGAGCCAAGCATCCCTCGTCCACCTTCAAAATCAGGACCTCACCAATGAATACATGCAGTGTTCCTAATCTGTGACCTGGAAAGCCTGAGTCACACGGTTCGATTCTTGTTTGGCTGCCAGGTTGACAATGCATGGCTTTCAGAGACACTGACTCCTGGGCTCAGCTCACAAAGTTAAAGGAATGAGTCTCCTATTGGTTGTACCATAAAGCTAGTATAGTGTAGGGTTCCGACAGCTCGTTGAAAAAGCTGTCCAGAGTACTTCGCCGTCATAGCCGGGCCTCACTGTCAAGTCCGGACAAATGAAAAACGTCGGAGAAACAATGAAACGGAAAAATATGAGCACAGACAGGAATTGTGACTTTGCCCAATCACACAAAGAAACTCAATCAAACGCACAATTACATGTCAGGCAAGTCCAAAAGATGAGGTGAAATCAACAAGATCAACGGACCAATAATGACCACAAGTAGAAAGTCCCACATCACCGAAATCGGTGGTGCGATAGGTGTAGAATGTACAGATTTTACTAATGTATTTTCAAGCCTTCATTTCTGAGTCGACGCGGGCAGCCGATTTGAAGGTGCAAGGGCAAGATGAAACAATGGTTGCTAATTGCCAGGCCCAATGGTTAGAGCGCAAGACCGGAAGGTCCGTTGTTCGAACCCGACCTCTGTATCGTAACTTATGCCTAGGCTTGGGCGGCGTGGCAGTACCCCAGCCCTCTTGCTTCCTTCAGGTGGCATGGCAGTTAGGCACCCAAAGGGTGCTACAGCTGAATGGTTTTTTTAAAGGTATCGCAAGACTGTTGTCTTGAAGTGACAAGCCTGATTCAGTGCTTCAGAAACGTCGTACGATGTTCTAGGGCTGTGGAATGGCTTCCACATGCCCACTTAAATTCAACAGTGATACAACATTTGAAGGCTCATCAGGTATTCGAGTCTCAATAGGCCGTTTTACAGGCATTACAATTGGTACGCATATGCGAACCTCCACAAATAACGCACGCTTGACAGTAGTTGCAGTAGTCCTCAATCGCCATGCCGTGTGTCCTACTGCTACGCAACACCCCTTCGATATGGCAGTCCAGGGTGGCGTTATTTGCCTGAAATCAACATGGGTTCAAAATGCCTTGCGCAACATACTTCAAAGCAGAACTAAAACCAAATAACACTCACCATCCTTGCTGTCAAAATTCAAAATCTCCAGACTTGCGTCCTTCTCAAAAGGTCGTAATAAGTCCCACAGCTCCCCGTTCACCCGAGCAATCACAGCATGCTCAGCCAACTTCTTGCTGAAGGTGATGAAGAACACGGGATTAGTGAAAACAATCAACCAAGTGGTAGTTTGTCATGAGCACGCAAAGTCGACAACCAGTATTGATCTATCAACCTGAAGCGACCGCTCAACCTCTGATTGGTTAAGTTTTAAAAGAGAACAAGTTTGGATGACAACTTGAAACAAAAATCAAACCCTTGGTTTCAGAAAATTCAAGTAAGTGATTTGCTCAAAATCTAATGGAAACGAAAGTTTATCGGATATCTTCGTAGCGGAACCCCGACGCAGCCTGAGGATAATGCGGAAGAATATCAATATGTCATTGACCAATAGGGACGCCATCAAGTTCCACGATTTTACCACGTATATGAGCTCCGAGAGTTAGACCGTTCGTTTGCATTTTTCACCGTAACACGCCCACCTCTAACTAGTTTCCAAAATTTGAAAACATTTCGGTCTTGTTTATACGGACTGATTCTATTGCAGTAAAAAATAAACAAGCTTTCGATTATGCATAAGGTTGCTCATAAGGTTGCTGAAAATTCGTCGACAGCCCACGACCGGTTTCGCCCTCTTTGGGGCTCATCAGGTAGGCGCAGTCCCCGGGGTTTTCGTCAACCTCATGTTCTACTTGAAAGCAAATTACACGAAATTAGAGAACAAGCACTCATTTGCAAACTAATTTGGTTTTTCGAGAGACTCACTTGGGACCCAGCTGAATCTCTCGTCTATAATGTTTCTAAGCAAGTGAATGTGCTGCACCAGGCCGCCTCATGTTTCAGTTGGTACAATATTCTAGATATCGCGATACATGTATATTTGTAATGTACTACTCATCAGGTTGCTGAAAATTCGTCGACAGCCCACCACCGGTTTGGGGCTCATCAGGTAGGCGAAGTCCCCGAGTTTCCGTCAACCTTATGCTCTACTTGAAACCAAATTGCACGAAATTAGCGAAATACATTCATTTTGCGAGAGACTCACCAGGAACCCAGCTAAATCTCTCGTCTATGATGTCTCTAAGCAACAGCCTACGTGAAAAAGACGGCCAGAGATTAACCCAACTGAGCGAAAGATAAAATCCGTGACTTTTCATAACCAGTAGACCTATCCGAATCTTGTGTTAACAAACTATTTTCTACGCACGCTGAACCATTTCACACTCACAGTTGGTTTCTACCAGCCGAAAAATCAATAATAAGACGTGGGTCAAAGAATGACGAAAAAATGGCCAGATTAACCGGATGTGGTTGGTTGAACTTGTTGAACGTTTCGCTGTTGCACATATGGATGGCAACATTGCCTGGCCACTGGTCAAAACACTCCACACGGTCTAAGCCAGTGATACCTACCCTATGAGTGCCTCCACTCTCACAACGAAGCGGAAAGTAATGCGCAGTCACATCCACTACAGTCACCTGAACTGTCTGAGAACTCGGGTGAATCCGGAAAATACACAACATAGTAACATCATCCGCCAGACTGGCCTAAATAAAAGGGACCTTATTGTCGATTGGCCGACAATACGGTGCCTAACGTTCCCAAATGGATTGGTCTATGAAGAAATGGGCATCTTCCTTGGACGTCCTCTGCACTGCATAAAAAGTTGATGTCCCCTCTTCACCATCGAGCTTACTTGATACTTTGAGCGATGGCCATGGGTGTGGTTTCCCAAGCCTTTGCCTCGATGGTCGCGCCGTCGGGTAAGGTGATTTGAATGGGCGATCGCGGTTGCGAAGCGACGAAAGCGTCATATTCGCGCCGCAACTTCTGCCAAAGTTTGTCACGATAGGCTATGAATTCCGGAGGCGGAGGGAGATTTTTCTCGCCCAAGGCACTGGCCAGATTGCAAGGTCCTTCAGTGCCCTGAAAAACGGGACAAAGCGGTTCGTTAGCTGGCCCATAACCTGTGCATAAGGAAACATCTGATACTATACACGAATTTGACACGGGAATATACATCAAACGTTCTTTCAAACTCAGACATACAAATTGCTAACGGAGTCTAACACAAACGCCAAATAGTTTGTGAACTCAAATAGGCCCCATTATTTTGGTTCTACAAGAATAGGAAGAGCAAAAAACATTTTTGATCAGTAATGACAGTCAGTGAAACACCCGAAAGGTGCCAACTTCATTAGTCTAACGATATTCATGGAGAAGAGTAGGAAATGGCAAGCGTCAGAAACGTCAAATACCAACTACCGGACACATGATCATGGAACAATTTTACTAGTCTCATGACAGACTGTCTTGGGGGGAACTGAGCGCAGTAGTTGTAGTTAGCGAAATAGTTAACTGTAGCTACTGGGTTATGCCAACATGCACGAAAGACCATGTGGTGTGAACTTTTGGATAACTCGAATACGTCTCGAACCCCAGTGCAGTTCGGAATACAAGTTAGGTAGCTATCTGACATTTCGCTGAAATTAAGAAATACTGTTATAGCCTATGCAGACGGGAATTAACCTATATCGAATTCAGAACACCCAAAGTATTATCACTTACCATTGCAGTAGGGATAATGGGTTTGCTAATGGAGTAAAATCTACTGCAGACACGCAAAGCACTGCGCATACAAAATTGCGCAATCAACAGACGAGGTGAGAATTCGATGGAACTGTGAAGCTTCCGGTACGCCTATCGGGCACGCCAGGCGCTGTAAACATGGAAGGCAGTAGAAAAAAATTAGTAAAACACGGAACCGAAAGCGAGAACAAGTAACTAGCGTGAAGCTTTTACGAAACCAAATAGGATCGTGGAAGTACCTCCGAATGGGGCCGACAATATGGGTTAACAAAAGGCATGAAGGGTCACTGAGTTTGACAAGTTTGTTGCAAACGTTGTTTTATCGAAAACAACCAACGACCGTTCAGCTGCAGCACCATTTCTGTGCATAGCTGCCAGGCCATCCAAAGGAAGCACGAGGGCTAAAATACTGCCAAGTTTCCCAAGTCTAGACAGAAGTCGAGGTGCGGAGGTCAAGTTCGAACCGCGGGCGTTCTGGTGAGTAAATTCGCGCTTTAAGACTGAGCCATTTCGGGCAAAGCCTTTGTGACCAATCGAGGCGACACTATCAGTGCGTGGTTTTGGGGCGGAAAGGAGCTGTGAGTTGGTCGTAGCGCAGTGAGCAGTGATGTGCGCGAGTTTCAGGGACCTGATTCGATAAAACAGGGCAAACGTGAACCATTATACTTGGTGAAGGACGTGGCTGTTACTAAAATGACAAAGGCTCGGTAGGATCGACCAGCCTCATCCTCACAGTTGTTCTTTTCACCCCCAAAGCCACCGTCCCAAAAATGAATTGCTGGAACTTTACAATGTCAAACACCTCAAGGTCTTTTGGCTCACCATTTTATGTCGTCGTACGCGCGATACGCAATGAATGCCGATAATCAACATTCTCCCCTTTTTCCAACTGATTCCTACTCAATACCGTTCCTCTATTCAAGCGGTTTTTTGTGCAAAACCGGGTTTAGCTTTTTAGCTTGTTACTGAACTAGTAGGGGTAAGTGTAAGGATTAATCTTCCCGCAGATATTTATTAGACATATACTGTCAATCTCAGGCAACTGGAATGTCCATGTTGTCAGGCTGAGACTCAACACTAGCCTCAATACGTTCCTTTTAGGATGATGGTGGAGAACGCGTCAACTTCGTCCAACTGAACGCTATAATTACCATAAAACGACAACGGCCCCAACGCCTCGAACAGACCATGCATTGATACAATGAAGTAGAATAGGGAACGCGAGCACACTATATTGCGGACAGAGTACAAACTCCAGCGTGCCAGGAGAAACGAATGTTTCTATTATGACATACCGATAATAACACACTGGAGTTGCAAACTCATCATCGTGATCCTTGTAATCAGACTGCTTACGGTTTCTCACTTTGAGACAAATCTTTGAACAGCGCCACTCCTTCAGAAGTCTCATGTTGGTAGTTTTTCTGGATTCGAAAGCTGCTTTTGATTCCGTCGATCACCAGCAACCTTGGCAGTGTTTGGCAATCAAAGGTGTCCCTTCAAAGATTCTCCCCTTCATGAGGGCACTGTATGTGAACCCCTGTGGGTGCGTACGAGTATACGGGAAGCTCTCGTTTGAGTTCACCACTTCCCTTTTCCTCTTTAACTTTGTTATTAATATACTGCTTGCAGTTCCTCTGCCTGCCCCTGAAACCTCGAGAGTCGATTCACTCTCGGAACGTTCCCTCACAGACACTGAATATGCAGACAACATTCCTCCCCTTGGTTCAGATCCTTCCCAAATGCAAACGATGTTAAACAACCTAGATAACTCTACCAAACAGTTTGGCATGCGCTTCACACCCGCAAAGTGTAAAGTACTGCTACAAGACTGGATGGGATCAAATCCACATCTCATACTTTCAGGCGAGCCAAGTGACGTGGGAGATGTATTTGTTTACCCGGACAGCTGTATAAGTTCTGGTAATGTTGTTGGAGATGAGATTATTTCTCGAATCAGAAAGGCCAGGCCAGATTTTGCCAACCTCCGACACCCATGGCGCCGACGTGACGTGATCTTGTCTATTAAGGGAAGAGCTTACATTGTGGTGGTGCGATCCATACTGCTTTATGGATCAGAGACGTGACTCCTAAGCGTAGAGGACATACGGAAAATGTCAGTGTTTGATAATCGGTGTTTCGCAGCATCGGTCGGGTCCGGTGGAAAAATCGGATTAGTAATGTTGAGGTACGTCACCATGGCCTGAAGAAAAAGAAACTCTCCCGCGATACGATGAACTACTCACGCTTCATAGGCAGCGGTGGTTAGGGTGGCAGTCGGTCCTCTGACATACGAGGTACATACCCTATCCGCATAACTTACGAAGCATGAGTAATTCATCCATCGTGGGAGATCCCCTTCTTCCTAAGACCATCTTGCCTATATCGGTATTGTTAATCCGCTGTTCCCACCGGAACCGCTGGTGCTCACGAGACACAGATGGTCAAACACATGAAGAACGCGCTTCTGGCTTGGGATACCTCAGGAACGCACTGCTTACGGCACAAAATTACTGAGGGGGAATTCCGTGCTTCGCTCGCAGCCTCAGCATAGCAACTGCTCCTAGGCTTGTGAAACGTCACAGTATCTCAATTGCCGTGCCCCTTCGAGTGGTATGGCAGCTAGGTACCGAAAGGGCGTTACAATTGAATAATTTTGATTATTTATTATAGATTCTTAAAACGGTATGAATCACGCCGTCGAAGTATATACTCCGTCCTTAACGGATGGACTGGCATCATGCTTGTCTTGGAGGTTAACAAACACTGCCCTGTTCTTTATGACCCAACAATTAGCCTCGCGTCACTGGGACCTGTACAGCTTCTCAGGTGAACAAATTTATCTACCACCTTGATTGATCCGTCTGGAACCGTGACGTTTAAGTTCGATTCCTCGCGGTCTTGTGCATCGCGTAGATCCTCGCAGGTGTGAATCGCACACCACATTGTCCGGCAAATATGTTCTGCTAGTTAAAATAATTCACAATTCCCACTGCATCATTTGACGCGTAGGAAGGGATGTGGTGGAGAGCCGGTGAACAAAGGAGTGCAAGGGTGAATGATACTTCCTGATTGCCCCGGCCCAAGAGAAGCGTTCTGTTGAGGCACCCCTCAAGGTTGCTGAAAACTTTTCAACAGTCCAGCACCGGTCTCGCTTTTGTTTGGACATGTGCTGCCTTTATCGAGACTGATCAGAGCAGAACCCACATCGCACGGTAATCTGCGTAACACCCACACTTTGGCAGAACCCACAAATGGCTATACATCCTCTGCCTTGCACGAAATCTGTGGAGTAGTGGAGTCTGTTGTCCCATCTTTAAACCTATGCGCAGTAAAATAAATCGAAATTAACCCTTTCTAAATTCAAGTAGCCAGTTCCACATTGCTAATTTCCATGTCCGTACCTTGTGTCAAACTGGGCAATAGGTGCCCCAAGCTCGAGCCATGTCCTCTTTTTTATCAGTGTACCTTGTGTCTCCGAAACACGTACACAAGCCCCCAGAAGTGTCACACCCCTCAAACCACTCGAGACGAACCCGGATTTCTCGCCCTTTACTTTTCCAGTGTCTGGCCATCATCATCATGGACGAAATGACATCAGTGTTCAACGCCGATGCTTCACTGCCTATGTCCTCTGCGATAGAAGTGTAAAGCCAGTAGGGAGTTTCCCCAAGGTGACCAGCATGTTCATATTTATGGAAACAGAGATGCTGTATTCTACTGAGGAAGGACAGGTTAGAAACGTTAGGCCCCAAAAACCGTACACTTCGGTCACCCAGTGCTTGACCGTCTACCTCACAGAGCTCTTTTTCCCACCCCTGTGCTGAGTGGACGCGACCGAGGGGTGAACAATGTATTACCTGGCAACGAAGTACGAAGACGCTAACCAGTAAACTTAGTCGGGTGGGCAACTGCCGCACGGATGGATGTGGACCCCGGGACTCAAATCACAGTAATTGATGACACTGTCCTCTACGATACGTATGAAGGCAGTAAGACGTTTTGAGGACCAGCAACTTAGTCGGGTGGGCAAATGCCGCCTCCACGGATGTGGACCCCGGGACTCAAATCACAGTAATTGATGACACTGTCCTCTACGATACGTATGAAGGCAGTAAGACGTTTTCCTAGAGGACCAGCATGTCCATATTTATGGAAGCAGCGATGCTGCCTTTCGCCTCGGAAGGACGGGTTAGAAAATGCCGGTCCCAAAAACCGCGCACTCCGAACGCTCAACGGTTGACCGTGACCACCTGCGAAAAACTTTTAAAAACAAAGAGCCCGGTGCTGCTCAAAGGGCACCTGCTGTGCGTAGCCGCATCAGGAGTGAGACAGCAATGCCCTACTCCCTGTGCCTCCGGGCCAGGCCGGCCCCCTACAGCCAAATAAGTCAGACTATTGAGTCACTGGCTCTGGGAAGAGTCCTCCGAGAAAACCCCAACCGCTGTCTAGCGGTCCAGACTCTTGAATCATAGACTAGGGTCAGGGTCCATGAACACATCCCTACATGCTCCCACTATCTTGTGGATCAGACTTATGAGTCAAAGGCTTAAGGTGGGGTACCTCAACTAAACTCTCTTCTTCAGTCATGGCAAACAAGAGGCATCATTTGCCCTTGCAGCTGTTCGCTCACCGGCCTTCTCCATCATTTCCTCCCAACCCGTCCCATACAATGCAGTGCTATGAACCCATCTGCCAACCCGCTAGCCACTGTTCTATGTCCCAACCTTCACCCAGAAAAATGAACCAAAATAATCACCTACTAACCTGAAAAGATCTTATCCACGTTGCAGCCTTCAATGTCCTCTATGTCAGATCGGGCAACAGGAATCCCTTGCTGAAACCTTACTTCCACTCCCTATTGATGTATGCTGTGTCTCCGAAACACACAAACAAGACCCCACTCCGGTCGTGTTCCTCAAGCCGCTTAGGATGAGCCCAGATGTTGAACATTTCACTCTTCGGGTAACCGGGGATTCTGAACAATGGCTCGTGATATCTACGGTATGGGAGTTGCACTCATCCCCAAGGCTGAAAGCGCCTTACTGGACTGGATCCCAGTAAACAGTTGCCTTCACGCTGTGCTGTTGTCTGGTGCAATTTAGATTAACGCAGGTCGACGTGGTAAA